CGGCTTGTTTTACAACGTCGTTGCCAAGCGACGAAAACCCAACCCCGATGTCAAACACCGATGGGCGTACTCTTATGGGTTGCATGTCTTAGCGGTTTGACCATTGACCACGCGTCCTCGAGAGGACGGAGCATTGTTCCCACAGGACTCATCACCGATGGCCAATCGTCCCTTTCTATTTTGCCAAAGGTGGCTCAAGAATGTCTTCCCTAGTCTGTCTATCCTAACGATAGCCCTTCCCGCCTTTTCAACCCACCTCCTATGCCCCACTACAGCTACCGTCCTTTCCTCTCTATTCCATGCCTCAAACATCTCCCTGTACGTCCCATCTATTTTTCCCAGCTCAGTCACGTACACTTCCCTCTCCTTCTTGTACAACGGACATTCCGCGACTACATGAACACGGTCTTCGCATTCGAAGCCGCAATCACATTTGAACTCGTCGTCTTCCTCGTCTACCGTCCTATGTCTTCGTCGACGTTCTCGAAGGCCTATGTCCCCGGTCCTGAATTTGACCTTAAGCTTTGTTCCTGCATCCATTGGTCCATGTAGGTAGTCCTTGAACCCTATTCCTTCCTTCAACATTCCGTACACTTCTAGACCCTCCTTATCCTTGGATTCTTTCCTTAGATTCTGTTCTTCTCTTTCGGCACAAGCAACAGATATCTTCTCCTTGAACCCCTGTAGACCCTCCGTTTCCAGCGTTTCATCTTCGTCGATGTCGAGCCCCTTCCATACGTCCTCTACAACCTTGACCCATTCCATGGGTTGTCTACCCCTCTTTTTGTTTGCCCACTTCGCCTCCCATACAATTCTCTGCAACCTCTCCTCTCCCATCCCCCACATGCGATACTGCCATGTCACCTTCCTCGCGTCTCCTCCCGACCGTAGGGATTGGATCCCCAAATCTGCCCTGACGGCTGCATTACTTGTGCGCTTGGGGGGGCTTGTTTTACAACGTCGTTGCCAAGCGACGAAAACCCGACCCCGATGACATACACCGGGGGGGATCGGCTTGTTTCACAACGTCTTTGCCAACCGACGAAAACATAGCCCCGATGGCAAACACCGGGGGACGTGGAGGGGGGGTACAACTGCATTTCGGTTATTATGGATGACATGTCAAACTGGGTTTGGCTGGAGCCCACAAGAGCATGCACTGCCCACCTGACTGCAGCATCTCTTGACCTGGAAAGATGTGGGCTTGCCCGAGGTAAGTGCGTGATGCTACTTCCCATGTCAACCCACATGATGGCTGGTTGCCCATACTCGGTGTCGATCGAACGTTTTCAGTCGCCAACTTGCCCTAGTATAACGGTACGTGCGAACGAATGATCTGTGACGTGGTTCGTACGCTCAACGTCATGATTCAGGAACAAAGGAGCAGGAGTACTCGGAACTGAGTTGATCTGGTACAACGCTTTCCACGAACGATACCAGCTCGACGCCGTGCCAAGTGATGTTTGGCAGAGTTCCCGCCGCACGCCGCGTTTTCGACTTTGGCGTTGTCCACTTGGCGCCGAAAAGAAGATGAGCAGCCTGGACGAGAAGAGTTTACGGCTGAAGGTGCAGCATGTCGTCGAGACCCGTCGTCACCTGCACAAGGATGTCCTCGACAAGGTGCAGGCGAGTCGGAAGCAAACACTCAGAGCCTGTGCATGTGGGGAGCGGGTCGGACGTCGCGGTGGCCGACAACGTTTGGGTGGCGTTCGATCGTCGGCGTGGGGCGACACTGGAACTTATCTTCACCTGGAAGAGACTGTTGAAGGCTTCGCAGAGAGGCCGCATGTATACGGAGTCCAGACCATGGTGTCGAGCGAAGTTTGGGATGTCCACGCCGCACGCAAGTTTGCGATTCTACACCGATGTCGCTCTACAGATCACGCTCGAATGAAAGAGGCTTGTCAGAATGCTTTCACGCAGTGGGAGTTCGAGATGGCCGCGATCGTGGACATGTCGGAGTCGAAAGACGGGTCTGGTTTTGATGTGGAAGTGCAGTGCATCGGTTTCGACAAGGACTACAAGATGTGGGAAGAGGTGTCAAAGGTCTGGGATGCCGAAGCTGCAGTTTTTCAAGTGTGAGCTGCGGTGGCTGGGGCTTCCGAGATAAGTCTCAGTTTGAGCAATGACACGGATTGCGTTTGAATCAATTCGTTTGAAGGAGGGTCGTCTTGTTGAGTATTGATGGCATTCTTTTAGACGTCGGCGTTATTGCTTTACTTGTGAGTTTTTTGTAGGCTATATTGTCCTTTGAAGACGAGCCTGTTCATGCGCTATTCAGCACGCCGCGCATTGACTTGGTTGTGGTGTGCCTGACTCTTGCATGTGTAGGTTTCTGCCCAGTGTCGGGGGTGCTCTTACTGGTCCAACGGTTTCATGTGGTATATATAACTAGGTCAAGGCCGTCTGATAACATCGTGTTGGTATTTCTTACCGAGCTGGGTACGCTTTGAGTTTCGTGACGTTGGCTTGGTTGACGATCACATGGCATGTACCGATCGTTGCATCTTTCACGTAATTCTTCATGAAAGGTAGCCTGCGTTGTTGATTGTTTCAAAAGCAAGCCGACGAATGTCGTCGTCGTGCTAGTACCAAGGTTATTTTTTCTTTCTTTCTTGCGGGATGCTGAACACACCTTATTCGTCAACAACCAACAACGAAGGAAAACAACACGAGTTCTACTTGAGGAAAGAAGAGAGAGTCTCGCGTTAGGAAGAGGCAGGGCTCCGCAGTCAGCAACTGACGCAAACGGAAAGATATTCTACACGGGCCATGTATGTATGTATGCACACAGTAGTACATTGAGCTAACAAAGCCCAACCCGAGGAAGCTAAGCCTAACAACACCGACCGTAAATCATCCTGTAGATGCTTGAGATTCAGCATGTTCGGCCGGAGGGTCTGATGCACACGTCGCCCGAGCACTGCCGAAAAGAACAGCCGCCGCGACCTGCGCTCAACAGAGAGAGAGGGCAGTTTTTAGAACGCCCATCCATGTGTGTGACCCGATACAGTGGCAACTGGAAAAGTGGCATCATAGTCCCTTGTCACAATCCTGATATATATATCGATATATCGAACAATGGCACTGGCCTGAATAGTGGCATATTCTCCTCTTGCCCCTACGTGCCACTAAAATATCGGGCCACCTACAAAAAGTATGCACTTTTTGTGGCGAGGGACTCCATGCTGTCAACAAACTCCTCGCTAATGCTGCTCGTTGGTCATCTGTCCAGCACGAACTATCACGCCCGCATGAAGGAGACCACCAGAACGCGGACGGACAATTAATTTAGTCCATCTCCCTCGCGAGAAAAAAAAACGCCCGGGCGAACTTGCATTTACGTGCCACAACCATCATCAACCCACATCATGGACGAATGACGTACTAAGCAACATCATGCGAACTCTATACTATGTTTGCCGTTGGAGATGCGCAACGCTACGAGAGCAAGGCGTTAGCCCTAGCAGGCGGAAGCTAGTGACAGCAAAAAAAAGAATGTGACCACACACACCAAAATCACCACGGACGAACTATTCCACCCATCTTTTTCAATAACCCTGCCGTCCGTATTAGATGCGTACCTACACAATGGGTGTCCCAAAAAACAAAGCATGAACAAACAACAAAAAAATGAAAGACCATGAAAAAAATAAAACAATACGAAAAAAGATCGAGGCAAAGAGAGTGAGCCAGACGTGACAGGCTTCTGAAAGGAGGCTAGGGAGAGCATAGAAAGAGCACCCTGTTCGCCGCTCTGAATCCCACGACGCTGTCACATTGGCACTACTACAGCAAGCATCATGGTCATGCCCATTCCGTGGCAGCACCCATCGTATCGCTGCCTATGAGAGCAATGTGCGCAACCTACAGAGAGAAAAGATTAAGATTACCTTACGAGCTTTGCAGCAAGAAAAAAATCAAACACACACAACGCAGAAAATCGAAAATGGAAGATTGTAGCGCGCAGCACACAGGACCCTCTTTGTTCGACCGGCTGTTCCCATGGCGAAACAGACACTGAACAGTCAAGGCCGAGTGTCGGTCACAAGAGATGAAAGCTGCTCAAACTCGGGGAGGTGTCATGGGTTTGTGGATAGGGCTCTGCTGGGGGCCCAGAAATGGTAGTTGGAGATGTTAATGGTACCCCCTTGTTGTCCCGTCAGGGGGGGCTCTATTGACGTCTGATGATAATAATAATTTCTGTTTACCATCACCAAGGAGGTGAACCGACCAGCCCCCCGAGGCCACGCGGGGAGGACACTGGTGCTGGACCCTGCCTGACCTCAGGCGTGTTTACAGTTGTCGTTAAGTCAGGCTGACCGACCAGGGTCAGCTGGGTCGAAAATTCTCAAGACTTTAAGTTTACTGGGCAGCCGTGAGCTGTTTGTTGATCCCGAACAACTGTCTCTGTTGACTCGCCGAGCTTGCGTTCGGAGCTGTGATGCTTCTGCGTTGCACAGCGGGGGAAGCTGTCAAGTCTGGCGTTCGGGAGGAACGTCATGGCGATAGGCGGGATTCATCAACCATTTCTTTACGGTATGCCAGCAAGATAAACCTCTCCGCTTTGGTGGGGGTTGCGGTGTCCCAGCAAGATAAATCTCTCCGCTTCGGTGGGGGTTGCGTTGTCTCAGCAAGATAAATCTCTCCGCTTTGGTGGGGGGTGGTGCTCCAGCAAGATAAATCTCTTCGCTTTGGTAGGGGTTGCGGTGTCTCAGCAAGATAAATCTCTCCGCTTTGGTGGGGGGTGGTGCTCCAGCAAGATAAATCTCTCCGCTTTGGTGGGAGTTGCGGTGTCTCAGTAGGATGAATCTCTCCCGATTTTAGAGAGCACGGAGCACTCACAGGTGCTTCTACATGTTGCTGGCATATTTACAGCAGTTGCAAGGGAGACCGAGCGACAGGCTAGGGACAAGGGTCCCCTCGGGTGGTCATTTGACCCAGAACCAGGAATTGAGGGCCCGCCCGGAATTCCGTTTCTTATTTCGGGTCCTGTTGTGTAGTGTGCTTTTTTTTGCCTACAGGACCCTGTCGCTCTGTTCGACCGCCACAGTCAGCGGGCGAAAGCACCTGAAACTTGGGTGAGGAGGTACATTATATGCGGCGCCCTACCGAGGCATACTTGGGGTGTCGCGGGACGTGCGCAGTAGCTCGAGATCGGGTTTGAGGCTATCTATTTGTACACTGTATTTTACACTACAAATGCGTAAATTTTCTTTTTTGGTTCGGTCCTTTAGTTCGCTGGCCACGAGTCGCAAACATATCCAACACGTCTACTGTGTGAGCTTTTGAGCTTTGGGGCAAGACTCCGCAACTGGCAGCTGGCAGCCACGGCTACAGGTTGGTTCAAGTCGCACCATGAGCTCTACTCCGGAGATACAGAGCACATCCGTTTGCGTTGCACAGGGAATCCCCCAAAGCTCGCTTTAGAACTACGCGGTTTGGGAGCCCTCTGTGCTATGAGCTGGACCTTCAGTTGAACGTTCAGCTGTTCTCTTTGTTAGGTCTTGTGATTCTCCGAGAACCTCCCAGGGTTTCTATCACGAACGAGGATATTTGGCTTTCGGGAGGCACTCTTCCTATATGTTAGTTTGTGGCTAGGGAAGGTGTCATTAGCTTCCATACAAGCTGAACACCCCAACCTTCAACCGTCCCCAGACCCATTTTGAAGGCTGGCTGCTTTGAGGAACTACATCATGTGACCGACAAGGGGGACAGCCTCGAGCTTGAAAAGAAAAGGAATATATAGCTGTGTCCACTTGAGCTGTACGCCAATCGAACCATTAACAGCAATCCACGAAAAGGTTGGCCATGGGTGAAAGGCGGTAAGCAGTCCCTCGCAAGCATTATTTCCTTCGCAAGAAAAATCAAGCTCCCACAGGCAATCTGAATCTGAACAACGACTATTCTAGGGATATAGGGGTCGCGAACATTCAATTCAACATTCGCGATGCCCCCAACATTCGGAATCACAACCCTTACAAATGAGCTGCCTACTTCAGTCCTTCGATTTCGATTTCTTGGGCGGGCGGTAAAGCGCAATAACTACGGCGTGGTCACGCTCGTAGGGCTCCAGGGTAACCTGCTCCTTTGGCTTGAAGTTTTCCGTCTTGAGCTTGGAAACCTGGAACGAAGATACAAGACAATAACGACCACGAGGCTTCAAACAAACAAGACCGTCAACACCTGACCAGGTTACTACCATATTTGACCGGAAGCGTGTATTTGTTCTTCAAGCCGTGGGCGAGGGGACTAAAAATCTTTTTCAAAGTCCACGGACGTGGCAACCAAGGACAACGGGCAGTGACATGGGCAAACGAAACAGCTGACCCCTCCTGGTGATCGTCCTGTCCCCGAACCACAATTTACTATACCAAAACATACCTCCTGAGCAAACACAGCCTCCGGTGATGCGGTGGAGTCGACACACGATGCCTTGATAGAAATGACGCAGTGCCCTCCGTTCTTGAGGAAGTAGTGCGAATTCAGCGCCACGATACGCGCCTGCGCGGATACGACACAAACACCATTCATACGAACCCAGTGTGACATGGACAAGCATTCATGACCAGCTTCCGTTCCGAGCATGCATCTCGTGCTACAGGAAAAAAAAAAAAAACGCCATTGGCGGCCTCAAAAGTAAAATAGTCGGTCTGACAGGTGATGATCTACCCAGCTTAAAACCTCGTCCTTGCGGAAGAAGAGTTGGTGGGGCAGTTCTATCACCCAATTCGAGTGGGTGACTTCGCTTTGTCTACATCTGCGGCGGCTTCCATCGACCGGTCATGTCCGATAGTCGACGACAAGAAATCACTCACATATCTACCTGATGACGCTGTGGGACTATTGTTTGCAAACCTTCCTATTCCACACGGAACGGTTGTTGAAATCAAACAAACAGCGACGCGGGAGTGCCTACCGTCGGTTGCATTCAACATGGTATCACACCCCCTGGACGGATTGTTTAAGCTTTAAGCTCGACTATCGCACGAAGAAGAGTATGCCACAATCAACGTGTGTGAGAATGTTTTCAGGAAGTTCTCGGTGCCCACGATGCCGATTTCGGCACCGTCAATGTGCTGCAGCGGAATCGATCGATCGATCGGGCTTTGAAACTGCGTGGTATATAACGCAATCGGCAATAGTCGAAACATACCGGGCACCTCTATCATCAGTAAGATAATTTTATCTTCATCTCGAATGCGGAATCGATCGATCGATCGGGCTTTGAAACTGCGTGGTATATAACGCAATCGGCAATAGTCGAAACATACCGGGCACCTCTATCATCAGTAAGATAATTTTATCTTCATCTCGAATGCGGAATCGATCGATCGATCGGGCTTTGAAACTGCGTGGTATATAACGCAATCGGCAAAAGTCGAAACATACCGGGCACCTCTATCATCAGTAAGAGAATTTCATCTTCATCTCGAATCTAGCAACGCGGTTTGCAAAAAAAGAGCTTACCTGATCCGGCTGGGCAACATCCGCGAAAACCGTGTCGACCATGCCCACGAGCATACGATACTTGAGCGGGTGTCGCGCGTCCTCGATGATGGGGATGACGTTCGTGCGCGACTTTGCCATATTGATGAGGTCTCGACCGGGACGGTGTGCAAACTCCACCGCGTAGACGCACCCGGATGGCCCCACGATGTCGGCAACGTGCGAGACGGTGGTCCCGGCAGCTGCACCAAGATACAGAACCTGTGGTGTACATGGTTTGTACAAGAAGGGCAAGGTTACATTTCCATCGCACCCAGAGTAAACAAGGTTCAAACTCGTTTGTTTTCATGACAACTACAACGAAAGCAAGTGAGTTACAGGGGCGACACGAGTGATTCCGCCACAAGCGCCCAAAAACCCAAATGACCAGGCCACACCAAACCGAATTGTATGTAGATGCGTCGATACGTACTTTTGCCCCCGGGACGATGTGGATGCCGTCTACTCCTCCAAGGATTGCCGCGGCAAGCTTGGACCTGAAAGGATTCCACACCCGGTATTCAATCTTCGATGTTGTGCCGTCGTCGCTTGGTGGTGCTTCCACCGATATTAGCTTCTCGCCGTACACTGCCTGTGCGTGGGTCAGATCGAGTGAAGGATGACATGGGTTGTTGAAGCATGCATCTTCGCGAGGTTTTGAGCCAGTGAATTCAGCTAATATTTGTAGTCCAAACAGCGAACGCAAAGGCCGCATTCTACAACCCACAACCACAAAACTTACTAAACAACGTACTCGAACTTCGAACAACATCTCTAATGTAATGGATGAAAGGGCTAGACCCAGACACTTGACTCCTAAAAACGGCGGAAACTTACCAGGTACATGACAAGTTTACTCTCGAGCATAACGTCGACAGCAGGTCATGAACGTGCAACATTGCGCGTTGAAGCACGGTAGAAGATTGCTGATCATGTCAAGTTTCATCGAAACTGCTTTTAAACTGAGCCGCTTCCATGACGAGCACGGACACCAAAACCCTCACGCCAGGGGCGCCCAGTCAACAGCCTCTCGGAAAAAACTCGCAATCTGTACAACTACGTTAGCTTCAATATCACGTCCGGTGCGTGCTGGGCGCGGATCAAATGGAATACACATCTCGAAGCCAACCTTGCCGGGGGAACTGTTGAGCGTACACAGCGCATCCTCCTTTCCTCTAGCGATGAACACCCCCTCGTGTCTGTGAGGCTCCACAACGACCTTGGCGCCGCCCTTCATGCCTCCGCCACGGCCACCTCCTCGCCCTCCGCCACGGCCACCTCTGCCTCCCCTACCCCCTCGTCCACCTCCTCGCCCTCCTCCCCTCCCCCCACCCCGTCCACCACGCCCACCATCACGGCCGCCAAAACTACCTTCACCAACACACGTGGGGCACAATAAAAAACAAGCGTGCGATTAAGTAGAGATAGAAATTCGTACGACAGTAGTTGTATGATACTAATCCAATGTGAAATCTTAACAACGAGTCCGTGACGTCCAGCACATCCACTGTCGCTTCGCAAAGGGTTGCGTAATGGCGGCGCCGAGAATTCCCGACCAGCGAATCGGCACAATTAATGATGGTACTGCTGTTAAAACAATTCACACTGACTACTGCGGTATGATACTCCTGAGAGTCCCTAACTGCTGCACAAACAAGATGTTTTTGTGCATGTTGATATCGCGTTCCTCGAACCCCAAAACACGGCGGTGCAATTTCGAAAACTATATTTGTTCACTGAAAATCCTAATCCTTGTGCTGCTCCCGAACCATGACCGAAGTCTCCCTACCTATCAGCAACCACCGCATCACACGGGCACGCCCGTACCCGGTCACCGGAAGGGGGAGTTGACACAACGAGCTTGGGTGTTTGAGTGTGGGAGTAGGGGGGTGGGGGTCAATCCTTCACTTTCTTCCACGCAAGAAATTCTTCGCGTGCTCCGCGTCATGAATGTTCGTAGATGAATGAGACCGCCTCGTCTTGGCCGGCCCCGTCCGGCACCGTACAACCGACTGGCGCTTTTGTTCCGGTTCTCTCTTGCTGCATATGGCCTTACAAGCCACGTATCTATGTGGTGTGCGACGGATGTTGCGACGATACTGCCTGTATTGCTGTGCAATGGAGCAATCTGGTGCTACTATTCCACATGCGCGTAACCAGGGGGGGCCTGCAACAAAGAGACCAACAACAGCTGGCGGCGGGAGGATGTTGTCAAACACGATCAACTTTCTAAAAATCAAGTCGCAAAACATTCAATACATACATACCGGGCATATCCAACAGTGACAGTCCAAGTCCCCTGCAGCCCTGGAGGGAAGGGTAGGAATTCGACACTTACACTCCACTGGGTTGTGCTATTAATAGGTGTGACCAGCTCCATACGCTTGGCTTGGGGTGTGTGGTATGCAACCGTAGTTATTTTTGCTCCTCGCATTGTATCTACTTTTATGTATCAGGCAAGTCGAAATATCATGATGGGTGGTGCTGCGCAGGGCACACGCACCAAGAGACAGACCTGTTCCGGAAAGGATTTCGGGGCGCTTGCACGGCAGATCTCCTCAATTCGAATATTGTAAGTCAAGTCCAGTGAGACTTAGCTCAACAGCTTGCGAGAGGGAAGAGGAGCCATACCGTCGCTCTGGGTGGACATCGTGAGCGAAAGATATGTATCTACCATGTGCACAAAGGCCATACGAATGTACGCAGTGTAGGTTACACCGACACCGGCAAAAAAATATCACAAATTTGACATGGGGGATGACAAGTGTATGAGTTGTCCAAGACAAGCCATTGAAGCACGCACCGACTTGGATCACTCACTGCCTTGTGATGACCAGTCTAAACGCGGGTTTGAAAGTTTTTTATGGCTGTGCGTGACTCAGCCAAAATAAGCCATTGATCCTCCAATACGCCCAGAGTTACTCACCTCTCCCGCCACGACCACCACCTCTCGGTGTTCCACGCCCACCACCTCTCCCTCCTCCTCTGAATCCAGACATTTCTGTGAACCTCCTCTGTGTGGGGGTCGAAAAGGCAGGCAGTGAGAGAGCTGTCACCGCTGACCCGCGTGGTGCACATGCCGACCCCCCAGCCCCCCCCTACCGCCCTGTCTGCAAGTTACGGGCCTCCACCAACACGAACGAACAACTGCAGCTGTGCTGCGTACCACGCGCAGGACGCTCCATTCCTTCTATCTTGGTTCATGTCCATACATGAGGGGAGGGTAGAGAGGGGCTCTTCTGTGTGACCACGGGTTAGAGAGGAGTAAAACGGCACTACTAGTGCTGTGAGCGCTGATTTGAAGTGAAGACAAGAAAAAAAAAATACATGCCCTGATAGCACCATCGCTTCGGCCAGACCTAGTGTGGCGGTAACCCGCAGGTTGTATCGTAGTACGCGTGATGCTTTGGCTCACAGGTTGACCAAGACATCTCGACACATGGCTCCAGGGGAGAAGGGCAGCTCGGATTGCCTCGGTAGTACGCCTCTCCTTGACGGCTACCACGTGCCTGCGGAGTGGGAAACCCACGAAAGGTGAGATGAATAGATTCACGCTTACAGCAGCAAGGGTAATCCTCGATCAAATCATTCCAATCAGTAGCACTTTTGATTTGCATCCAGCGGTCAAGAATAAAGGCCTTTGACGGCAGCGACAGGATCGTTTTTTTCTCAGGGCCCCTGTTGATGGGCACAAGGGATTGTTCTACAACGTACGTATGAATACATACGTATAGCAGTTGTTGTTGGTGGTGGTGTTGTTGTTGTTGTTGTTCCTCACATTACCTGCACATCAGCTCTAGACTATACTAACTAGTCTACAAATATGGGTTAACCCGTGGTCTCAAAACCCTCCACATGCTTTGTTTGTTTTGTTTTTTTCTTTTGTTCACGTTAAACTTGTGTCAGTTGATAATCCCAAAATCTAGCCAAGACTCGGTCCGTGGTCACAAAAATGCTAGAGCCATCAGAAGATGTAAAGAACACGCACACTTTTAGCAAGAAAAGGGTACGCAAGCCCGAGGAGGTACACCTACAATCCCTGCAGCACTTTTGCGTGCTCACAACTGAACTAGACGCCACACACTACAATTCGACTACAGCAGCAGCATCACCCCCCTTGTCCCGCATTTAACCAAAATGGATGTTTGTCGACTATAGCGTACTGCTGCCTGAAGTGCTGTCTGTACAATAATAATACCATGGTGCATGGTACACAGCTCGGGGCATGCAGCTGCTGTCTGAAGTGCTGTCAGAATTGAGCCGTGGACATACAAAGAACACCCAACCAAAGCCATCATTGCAATTGACAATCACCCGAATCTATCCAGATCATCTATGTTAGGCACAGCAGTGTAAACATCGACACTGACTAGGAATCGTTCCACATTGAAGGGGTCTTCTACGATGCAGGTACACAATTAAGGCACCCGGGTTATCCGCGCCATCTCTGCCGCGTCTCTCAACAAAACCAGTGACGTCATCACACACACGCAACACCTGTATTCAGGAAAATAACGGAATATAATTCACAACACAAGGGATGTGTGTCCGTGCGCCACGGTTCGATGCCGTCCGCATGCTCCGGTTCCGCTGCTCCGGTGCCGCTGCTCCAGTGCCGCTGTGGCCAGTCCTAGCACGACCAAAATCGACCCGCTCCGCTTCGTACACGCTCTCGTTGCTGTCCTTTCCAGTCGGTTCCTCGTGTTCTCCCTCGTTGCACTTAAGGTTTTTGGTCTGAAAATTCTCTCGCCGAAGGGTCAAGAAGGTATCGGGCCCTTGAGGGTGAGTCTAGCCCTGCTCGCTAGAAAGCCCCCCCCCTCTACGACTACGGCATGCACGACTATGAGTAC